CGCATATTCTCAACCGGCATTGTTCAAAGCAGATTAAGAACAACTGAGTTAGTGAGTAAAAGTGTTGATCTTGATTCATAATCTTCTCCAAGTATTGTAAATGTTTTTACCAAGACATAATGTAAAGATCACAAAGATTAGGTTTTATTTCATAGCCATGAAAATGGAGCTTTCATACATAACAACAACATGGATGAAACTTGTGAAATCAAAAGTAAATGTACGCTTTTGATCATCATCTGGGAACACTCTCAATGAGTCTAGCACCGACTCGATCGAGCCTTTTAACCATTGCCACCGACCTCAAATTCCCTTCTTCCAGAAAAGCTTCCACCATTTTTTGTCCAATCTTCTTCCCCTTCTCTTCATTGTCAATCACAGCCACCGCCGTGGGCCCAGCTCCGCTTATCGTGCAGCCAAAAGCTCCACCCTTGATCGCCGCCTTCTTCACATCCTCCATTCCCGGAATCAACGGCGCCCGTTTCGGCTCCACGATCTTGTCCGACGACAATGCTTTCCCCAACCCCACCACATCACCTTCCAACACCGAAGCTACCAGCGCACCGGCTTGGCTGCAATTCCAGACATGGTGCGGCATCCCGACTTCCGCAGGCAAAGCCGCCCGCATCTTCTTCGTGGGAGCCTCGAATTCCGGGCTGACCAAGATGAAAAACAGTTCCTGATTTTGGGGGAAAATCAAGGGTTTTAGCTCCAGAGGATCATAACTTTTGATTAGAACGAAACCTCCCATGACTGCCGGAGCAATATTATCAGCGTGATAACCGGAAACTTTGGCTTCCGATTCTAATCCGGCCAGAACCAGCTGGTCTACTCCGAGTTTAGCACCAAACAGTTCGTTGACAGCCACTGCGGCGGCGGCGGCGGAGGCGGCACTGGAACCGAGTCCACTGCCTAAAGGCAAGCCTTCTCAAGCTTAAGTGAAAGGCCGAAAGATCGAATGTTGAGCATTTTCATAGTGGCAAAGGCAGCGATGCCAGCACAGTTGAAAAGAGGGTTAGGGCTGAGTTTAGATGACCCAGAGATTTCAGAGATCGAAACGTGACCGGGGTGACAGAAGAGTCGATGCTGAGGGAGACGTAATCTCCGAGGCCATCAACAGCGGCGCCGAGGAAGTCGAAACCCGGGCCGAGATTGGCAACGGTGGCTGGAGCGAAGGACTTGACAGAGGTGAAGACTGGCTCGATCTCTGTAGTGCTGGTGGTTGAAAATGAGGCTTTACATCTCAAAAGGGGGACCTTTCTGGGTGTGGATACAGGGAAGTTGATGGGTTTTAGAGGGGATTGAAATTGGAAGCAGACTGCCATGGAAGAAGGATGAAAGCTTTTGGGAAATTAGGGTTCTAGTGAAAGTAACAGGAAACGAGTAACGGCGGTGGTTGGTTTGGTGGGTTTTGGAGATGCTAAGCCCATATTATAACACTGGTTAGCTAACCCTAAATCTTGGTTAAATTTTGTATCCGATTAGTGATTAGTTGAGGTTAGTGCATTTTTTTAGGCAAAAAGACATGAGAGTCCCTCGAGCTTTTAAATAAAAAATAATATGATCCTATTGTTTTTTTTGGATTTACGTGTCTAACTCGAAAAAAAATTCAATGTGACCCTTTGACCAACGACGCCGTTAAATCCTTCTGACGTGCCACTTTTTTCATCCGTTTTATGCTTAAAAAGTGTTCCGATTGTCGTAAATTTACAAAAATAGTCTTCAACCGTCGTGGGTTTCATCTCTCCAATCTTCATCGTCCGCCGTTGGATGAAACTGCCTCCATAGTATGTTGGTCACACTGTCGTGGGTAACATCTTCACCGTTCGGATATACCAACGACAACCAAGAACGTCGCGAAACAAGACATGAGTGTGCTCGCGACGACTGAGGACTATTTTTATAGATTTGTGACGATCGAGGCGGTTTTTGGAAAAACAGACGATGGATTCTATTTTGGGGGACCAAAACAACCTGGACTTGCTCCTTTGTTCGCGATAACCATCGGAGGAGGATGTGGCAACTGTCATCGGTGATTGGTTTCCGATTCAACATTTTTTTAAGCATAAAACGGACGAAAAACATGTCACGTTAGTAGGATTTTAACGGCATCATTGGTTAATAATAAAAAACGTTTGTCAAAATACCACATTGATTTTTTTTTTTTTTTTTGAGTTAAAAAGCCAATCCAAAAAATTGAAAAAACACAAATGCCGGCGCTGGCAATATGGGCGTTTGCTTCCAATTCCTAAGGCCATTGATAAGACACGCAACATGCACATCTCTTACAACTTTATTACATCCAATCATATGTAAAAGACAATAGATTAAACCCATGGCTCACGTCCACCGTTTCCCCCAACATTTCGCCGCGTCTTCCTTGTGTTAAATGATGAAATCCATGTTAATAGGGTACTTTCTGCCTACGACATCATAATTTAAAGTTAATAAATAGCGGGAACAAGCGTAACTGAAAATATTGTGAAAAATATAATATTTTTATTTGGATATAACTTAAAATGCTATTTTTTTAATATTTTCGGTTTAACTGAAGATATTAATATTTTTCGGTTCAATAAAAAAAAATTAACATTTTATATTTCACTCAAAATAAAAATATTAGAATTTTTATAATATTTTCTATCGATCTTTCTTTAACCTTAAATTTCGTTCGCTTTGTATCTTACATTTCGGCCAAAGCGTGAGGTAAGAAAAATAGTGATACAAAATTTATTTCGTATATTATAAAGAATCGATTATGTTGGCAACCTTATATTATAAATTTAATGAAAATTTTATCAACACGACACGAATTCATACATTTCAGTAGATAATTAATAGAATTAAGTAATTCAAAATATATCATATTATTAAAATATCAAGAACAAAAAATTAAATGTAAAAGTTTATTTAAATTCATTGATGAATATAAAATTTTAAATCTTTAATTTTGATTTTTAATTTAAGACATAATTATTGAAAAAAAAAATCAGTGTATGTATAATTTAAGATAATAATCGTAATAAATAATCTAGCATGTTAAATTTGATTTTTAATCATCTCATCATCAATTAAAAATTAGTTATTTATGTATTTTATACATGTATGGCTCATACTTTTTATTTAAATATTGAAGTCTAACTAATACCAGTTGTATTAGATCATAAATGGTTTCGTAGGAGACGTTTGATTCACATAATGTAAGATACCTATAAAAATAAATGTAAAATTACCTGACACGGTACTGAAATGTTACGTTACTTTGTTTGATTTATTTAAGAAAAATATAGAATTATAATGTTTTAGTTAGGATAATATACGAATATATGTAAGCGAAATTTATCAAATTATTCTTGTTATATATATTTTCGATATATTAAAATCCTGATATCAACCTGAAAATATTTATATGAATTTTCATTTAACTATTTTTGTATCACTATCTAAATTTTATAAAAATTTTAAATTAATCATATCATTAATATATTTAGTATAATGAATAAATTTTAAATTATATACTTCATCTTTACATACTCTTATCATATTTTAAAATATTTTATTTATGATTTTTCAATTACTAAAAGTTTACTATGTTCAATTGTTTTAACAAAATTATTACTTACGACGGTTTATCAAATAAATTATAGTATGAAATAATGTTAAAATTCGTTCTTAACGTTTAATTGAATAATTATTTATTTTATTTTATCAGTTTGTTTCCCTTAACGTTTCAGTTTGGGATAAAATGACCTTCGGTCCGATTAAAATCATTAGTTGACCAATATTCAATACTTATCGTTTGCATAACAAATTTCATATATCCAAAGCGATAACATAATATTATGCAAAAGATTCCCGTTGAAAGACTCACCCTCTAAAACAAGGTGTACGGTCCAAATTAGTCAAGACGAAAACCTAAGAACTAGAAAAAACTAAAAGTTTAAGTACTAAAACGAAACAAATATGATAATTTATGTGTTAAACGCGTAATTTACACAAAAAATTATGTTTAGTGTGACTTAAAATATAAACTTTACTTTTTTTATTAGTCCACTCATACTTTAAAATGATTAACTCAAATTAATTTTGGGCCTACCATATCACTTTTTAAAAATATTTGTTATTTTCATGTAATATTCAATAATTATATATTTTTATTTTATTAGCATTTTTTAAACATGTGGAGTATAATTTAACATATTTTTTATAATATGTTTACCTAATGAATTTTTAAATCTAAATTTTGAACCGGTCTAGCCAATGGCCGAATTCCACGTTGACAAGTATACCAATATACTTACAGTTCACGGAACCACCATCGGGTCCGCCTCTGCGGCGTCGTTTCGTACAGCCTTCCACCAAATATACCAATTTCTTCAGCGAATTCAGCTTAGGATTATTTTTGGTAAAATATGCATATAGTCACCAATTTAAAAATTTAGGGGGAAAAATCCTAACGTTATTAATTCGTTTAATTATAGTCTCTAATATTATTGATCCGTTTGATTTAGTCCTTTAACCGTTAAATCTCATTTTTTAGTCCCTTGACCTTTTTAAGGACTTAAAAAAAAGAGTTAACGAAAATTAATGGTTAAGAGACTAAAATTGAATGGATCGATAATATTAGGGATCATTTCTTAATTTTTAAATTGGTGACTAAAGTCGGTCAGACCTTAAACATAGGGGACTATCTTCATAGTTTACCCTTCATTTTTTCTCTCCAAAAAAATTCGTCCTTTTTATTTTATTTATTTTTTCCCATTTAGGAGCTGTAAAAAGGAATTAGTAATAATAAAAAAACCTGCAACTGATTATTTGTTTCTATCCCAATTTTAAAGAAACAAAATTTCTCCATTTTTACAAATATAAATTGAGTAATCGTCTCTGTCTGATCTCAATTGGAGCATTTTGTCGTTTGAATCTTAACCCTTAAAAAACCAAAAAAATAATAATTTGGATTTGAAGTTTCAGATAAGAAATCTGAAGAGAAAATAAAACTTTGGGTTTCTTTCAATCAGCAAAGTATGGTGTTCGAAAAGCAACATATCGCGTCTTCATCGTCGAACAACTTGAAGCCCCCTTTGCCGAGAGAAGACACGCCTCTTATCGGTAAAGGGAAGCCTCTATCGTCGCAATCCAAGACCTTTGCCAATGTTTTGATAGCCATAGTTGGTGCTGGGGTTTTGGGTTTGCCTTACGCCTTCAAGAGGACCGGATGGGTCATGGGCCTGCTCTTGCTTTTCTCGGTCGCCGGCTTGACCACCTACTGTATGATGCTCTTGATTCACACCCGTCGGAAGCTCGAGTCCTTTGGTAATGGTTTCGCCAAGATTTCTTCTTTTGGAGACCTGGGTTACGCCGTCTGTGGCACCTTCGGCAGGTTCGTTCTTGTTCTGGGTTAAATTATTTCGCCATGTGAAACACGATATTGCTAATTAGATCGGGCTTTACTGTTCCTGTTGGCATCTTGGGTGTTATTGGTTCTGTTCTTTGGTAGATCAATGAAGTTTCTGCTTATTATTCTTTGCTTGTGCTGGGGATTTGTAATTTGCCTCTTGTGGAAATCTGGAAATTGTTGCTGATTTGGCTAATCTTATTGATTAAGAAACACAAAAGATGCTAATCTTTGTGATAAATGAAGATGATCTGGAAATTGTTTTCTATTGGTTTAGTTGTTTTCTCCTCTCTTCGCTATTTTCTTTTAACAATTCCATTGACAGGTTTGTTGTTGACGTACTCATCATTCTCTCTCAAGCTGGATTCTGTGTTGGGTACCTTATATTCATCGCCAACACTCTAACCAATCTTTTCAACGGTCAAGTATCGGTGACCTCGAGCTTAAGTTTAGGGATGTCCAGTGTTACAGCCAAGAGTTTGTATGTATGGGGATGTTTTCCCTTCCAATTGGGGTTGAATTCGGTTCCGACATTAACCCATTTAGCTCCATTGAGTATTTTTGCTGATGTTGTGGATCTTGGGGCTATGGCAGTGGTGTTGCTGGAGGATGTGCAACTTATGTTGAAGCAAAGCCATGAGGTTATCACGTTCGGTGGTCTCTCTGTTTTCTTCTATGGCATGGGTGTGGCTGTATATGCCTTTGAAGGGATTGGTATGGTTCTTCCTATAGAATCTGAGATGAAGGAACCCTCCAAGTTTGGCAAAATATTGACACTTAGCATGGGTTTGATTTCTTTGATATATGGAGCGTTCGGCGCGCTTGGTTATCTTGCATTTGGTGCTGATACCAAAGACATTATTACTGCTAATTTGGGGGCAGGCTGGATCAGTGCTTTGGTTCAGCTCGGTCTTTGCATCAACTTATTTTTTACCTTCCCTTTGATGATGAACCCCGTTTATGAGATTGTAGAGAGGCGATTTTGGGGAGGACGTTACTGCTTATGGCTTAGATGGCTGCTGTTTTGATTGTAAGTTTGGTAGCTTTGTTCGTCCCAAATTTTGCTGATTTCTTGTCTTTGGTTGGAAGTAGTGTGTGCTGCGGTTTGGGTTTTGTATTGCCAGCTTTGTTTCATTTGCTGGTGTTCAAGGAAGAGCTGGGGTGGAAAGGATGGACCATGGACGTTGGAATCGTGACCTTGGGCCTCGTTCTTGGAGTTTCGGGAACTTGGTCTGCTCTCGTGGAGATTTTCGCTGTCAAGGTGTAGAGGTGCAGTGTCACAACGATTGTGAGTTGTGACCTTCGGCCTTGTTCTTGGAGTTTCGAGAACTTATCCGCATTCATGGAGATTCTATTCTGTGAAGGTGTGGAGATACAATGTTGAAATGAAGGTGCAGTACTGAACTGCTTCATGATGTACTGCTTGCTTTTTTTTTTAATCTTTTTATCGTAGAAACCGGTATTTCTATATAGGTTGAAAGCTAAAAGACGTGATATCTTCGACACAAATGTGAGTCGTCGGCGATAGAGTCTAGTGTGGAACATTGATTGTGCTATAAGTCTATTGCCATGTTACCTATTCTGTCAAATATTACAATGCCCGTGTGTAATGCTAGCTGTTTTAAAAGGTTGTTTATGCTTCATTCTGATAGTTGAATGAGGCTTCTGTGTTTTCGGCTCGATCTCAGACCTTCGACGATTAAGTTCACAAGAGAAAGTGCTTTCTCTGTTGAACTTCGAGGCTAGATCCGTCGGAGAATGAGTTTTCTTGGCATAGACATCCCGATTTGTGCCTGTCTTGGGGGTTTGATAGAGACTGAACATAAGGGTGAAGCACCACCCTACTCGCACCCTTTGCATAAAGCAGACCAGACGGTAGACTGGAATCGGAACTGTCTCCGTCGTAACCTGTAAGTTATCGGAAACATTAAACACGAATGTCGGATATGGATACTTTGAAGAACCTATGCCGTATAATAAGGGGCGAAGTTCGGGTCAAGTTTTAAGGGTTTGGTTATGCTCGGCTAGGCCTTGTTCACTTTTAGTCCTTTCGATGATTAAGCTTATCTCCATCAATTCATTTATGTTTTTTTTTTCAAATACCACCTTCCAATTTTAAAAATTTAAAATTATAGTCAATAAATGCATATTATAATTATATAAAATATTTTATTCCTGGATATGGTATTTTTAATAATTGGCCTACCTATATTAGCAGTATACACCACAAACTTATTTATTCTTCTTTTCTTTTCTCCGAATAAGTGTCTAAATTATGTCTTTTGTGTTGAATAGGTGCTTTCAGTATTTTTTTACCCATTCAGGTGTCTAACGTTACAAACGTTAGTTTTTTAAATGTTCTAGACGTAATGTCCATTAAATAAAAATCATTATCCACTCATTTTTTGACACGTATCCTTGATTATAATTCCTTTTTCATTTTTTTAAATTTTGAATTTATAAAAATTAAAATAAATAAATCATTAATATTAATATTTTAATCCTAATATTTTAACCTAAAAAGTAAAAAACTTAAAATTTACCACGATCCTCCTTCCTATTTCTCTTCCTCACCCATTCTATTGAAACTCTCCTTCCTTCCTCGTTCTCTTCTGAAACCCCCTCGTTTCCCGTTCTTCTCACCCATTCTGTTTTTCTTGTACGAAGACATCAAAAGACTAAATAGACTCGAAGAATCATCTCTGCTTTTGTTGTTAGCTCGGATTAGTGCTCAAATCGAGTCTCACGGTAGGTAATTCATAATTCTGACTGCCGGAAGATTTCCCCGGAAGCTGCTCTCAACCTGGCGTTGGGGGCAGCCTACTATCCTACCTCCCCTCACCCTATTACTTATGAGAATAGGGTCAGTTAAACTAATGACAGTAATTGTAATAAAAACGAATTAAAAATTTAATGATTATAATACAAGGTGTAAACTATTGGTAAATAAAGTGAAATTAATTTAAAAATTCAATGACCATCGGTATAATTTACTCCGAATATAATACAACATGAAGAGAAAAAATATATATTTTTTGTTTACTTGTTATAAATAAAATAAAAGGTAAGAAAATAATAAACACTCTTCTAAACCATCAAATTGTATATCAATATTTTATTTTTCACATTTTAGATCATCATGGACTACATTTCCACTTATTATTTATAAAACATAAATAAAAATATTCTATTTTGGTTTATATTTTTCGTTTTTAATTTCTAATTTGAAGTATCATATATCACAACTTGCAGTCACCGAGTCACTTAGGTGATAAATAAATTATTGTTATTTCTTAAAGTTTTGAGTTCAGACATCAGAAATATTAAGAATGTAAGTATTCAATGTCAAATTGTTGAAAATTGTTTTTAAACATATATTAAGGGTGTAAAAAATATTCGATCTGATTGACCTGACCCGTTAACTCTAACCTAAAAAATTCGAGTAATTTTCTATAATAAATTATCTCGATCGAGTCGGATACCCGACCCGTGATTTTTTTTAAGTAGTTGGACCTGGTCTGGGTCTAAAATATATAATCTAATTATACTTGCATTGACCTAAAGTAATAAGGCAAGGAAAAAACATAAAGGAGATGAGATGGGCCTAGATTCGAAATTGTATTTGAAACCCTTCTACTTGAAAACAAATGAAGTGGATTCCCATCTCTCCACAAAGAAAACACGAGACCATCAGCGACAGAGAAAGTGAAACTGTGCCCACACATTTGCATTTGCAGCTGTCTCTAGCCCATTTCCCCTCCTATTTATAACCCCCTTAAATCCCCTCCGTTCTTCATTACCTCCTCCACCACCTCCACTGCCGCCGCCCTTTAAAATGCCTCTCCGCCGCTTCCTATTTTCATTTCTAATACTCACATACTCCGTCGCTTCTTCAGTGACAGCAACCGCCGCTGCCGCAAAGAAGCAAACTTTAAACACCCACGAAGCTGAGTTCTTCAACCCAAAGCTTCCACCACGAACCCTTTCGTCGTCGAAAAAATTCGAAGGCTCGTCGAATATCGTCGACCTCCGTTACCATATGGGCCCGGTTCTTTCCTCTTCGCCCCCTTATTATAAAGACTTCATCAACTCAATCTCCCCTTCCTCCGCCGCTTCCTGGCCGTCCCCTTCCGTCTCCGAGTGGTGGAAAACTGTTTCTCTTTACACCGACCAGACCGGAGCCAATGTTTCCCGGAACCTCGTCGTGGCGAAAGAACACTCGGATACGCGTTACTCCCACGGGTATCACCTCACGCGCCTTTCGGTCCAACAAGTCATCGCCACCGCCGTTAAAGCCGAGCCTTTCCCCGTGGATCACCGTAACGGGATCTACTTGATCCTCACCGCACACGACGTTACCGTCCAAGACTTCTGCCGTGCCATTTGCGGCTTCCATTACTTCACATTCCCCTCCATGGTGGGTTACACTCTACCCTACGCGTGGATCGGCAACTCGGGGAAACAATGCCCAGAGGTCTGCGCTTACCCGTTCGCCGTCCCCGGGTACATGGGCGGCGGGGTTCCGGGAGCGTTGGTCCCGCCGAACGGAGACATCGGGTTGGACGGGATGATCAGTGTGATCGCCCACGAGTTGGCCGAGCTATCGACGAATCCGCTGGTGAATGCGTGGTACGCCGGAGAGGACCCGACCGCCCCGACGGAGATTGGGGATCTTTGTGAAGGGTTATACGGTACCGGTGGCGGCGGAGGGTATATCGGTCAGGTTATGAGAGATGGGAAAGGGAGAACTTACAATATGAATGGCTATAAAGGTCGGAAATTTTTGGTGCAGTGGGTATGGAGCCCCGCGTTGAAAGCTTGTGCCGGTCCGAATGCCATGGACTAAATTTCAATTTTTTTTTTAAATATATATATATATATATATATATATTAGCTGCTATACTGATGTATAAAAATGAAATATTTATTCATATTTTTATAGCATAATTTATATTTTATTTAATACAATTTTTTCTCCAAAAATTTGAATTTAAAATCTTGTTCTTTTAATGTTCACAAATATAATCGTTTAACGTTCATCTAATGTTCGACAATCAACATTCTTCTTTTATCTTCTTCAATGATTCTTAAGTTTCGTGATTTAAATTTTAAAGTTCACTTCAGTTCAATTAAGTTCATATATTTATCAATATTTAAAATATAAAAATAATAGAATAAATATACTTATAACCGAATCAATAAATGAATTTATTTTAAACATAAACGAAATAAACACATATCTTTCCGTGTTCTTTTATAAATCTCTAATGCATATAAAACCGTATACAGTCACAATTAGCGTTTATGTTGCTCCCCGTGTAATAATTAAATTCGATTTTAGGGTAAAAATAATGAGTATCAAATAAAGTTAAAAAGCGTTTTCCCTCAAATGGCAAAAAGTTTATTTTATCAATAATTTAAATATGAAATAAGACATTTTTATAGGTATATTATATATTTAGTCATTCACCTGTTTATAAGTGGTTATGTTTTGGATAATAAATTATATTTAACTTTACTTTTTGATTATATTTTGATTACTCGTTAAAAAATAATGAGAATATTGGCGTGTAATCAAAAGATAATGTCACGTCATCATTTAAAAATAAGATAAAAAAACTTCAAATTTCCATCTACTTAAAAACCCCAATGCAGTCCTCGTGTTATTGTTTCTTTTAATGTGACCCTTTAACTAAAAGAATTAGTTGGTTGTGTCCCTTTGACCATCGTTTTTCATTGTTGATCATTATAGTGATGATGTGGCAGTTCAATGTGGTGACATGATGAACCATGGTGTTGATGTAACAGTCTATAGTGATTGATAATGTGGCGAATAATGTGACACATGGGCTAAATTGGTATCTCAAACATGAAATGTGAACTATCGTGTTAGTATCTTGAATCCCCACATCAACGTCGTAACAGTCAAACGATTAAACACGTTGGTTAGGGGGTCATATTGGTTTTATTTTCTAAGTTGGAAAATTATATTGAGAGAAAAATAATATGAGGGTTACATTAGTTTTCTCCTCTCGAAAGTACAATGACGTCCGATGCCTTCTTGTCTAAAAATAAAATGATCATATCAACAATTATGATTTTTAGCAATAGATAATCAAAACAATATCGTAGAAATAGGTGGACGATAAAATACATAATGTACTTAATTTTTATCAAGGGTAAATATAAAAATATAATTTTTGAAAGGTTAAAGTTAAAATATTTATGTTAAAAAACCAAATGGGATTATTAATTTTCAAGAAGGATAAAATATGTAATTTCATTTAATAAACAAGATAAAATAATTTAAGTTGAATTATTAATTTTTACATAAATATTTGTTTCATTTACTTAAAGAACTAAAAATACTAAATTAAATTCTTAATATTTGAATGAGTTAAATTATTAACATATTTTTTCACAAATGAAGCTTATATAATTTTTTTTTATTAATTTGACGTAAATATAATGCAATAAGTAATTAAAGATATTTTTAATCATTTTATATTAAATAATCATATTGACATAAAATATATTCGAATATAAAACTTCAAAAAATAATAATAATTATTTTAATAATAACATTACGGGTGTGTTTGGTTGGGGGAATGTGAGATTCCCATGGGAATGGAATCCATATTCCTCCGTTTGGTTAGCCGGGAATGTTTTTCCCGGTAATCTTACATTACTAAAAGTGAATTTTTTGGGTATATTACCGGAAATGTCATTATCTCAATTTCCTTATGTATTGTTGGATTACCGGGATTTTGGACTAAAATATCCTTAAATTTTTTTTTCTTTCAAAAATATCCTTATTCTGTCATTGAATAATAAAAATTCTACGAAGGTTAAATTACAAATTTATCCTTAAACTATTTTAGATTTACAAAAAAATCTATAATTAAAATTTTATATGAAATTCAGGGGCTAAAATAAAATTTTACTCTTTCATTAAACATTTTTATTTTTTCAATTTTGTAAAAAAAATTATATAAATTTTATTCTTTTAACAAAACACGGTAATCTTACATTCCTGCTAAACCAACCAAACACAAACTACAATATTCTCAGTAATCTTATTCCCTGATAATATTTTATTCTCACTGATAATCTTATATTCCGTGGACCAAACGCAACCTATTAAATTCATGCGAAATTTATATAAATAAATGAAAGGAGAAACAAAGTCATTGTCGAGAGGGCAAGTGGGTGGTGGATAACCCCAAAAGGCCAAAACTTTAATTGAACATTTGTGATCCACAGCTAATATTGGGACCCATTAATAGTACACATAGAAACATAAGAATTATTTCACATTATGGGACTACCCTCCCTGGCCCGGTGGCCCCTACTCTCATCGATTTTTATTTTAATATTTCATATTTTATCAATTCACTTAAATTAAAATTATAAAATCTACGCGAATCAAATGACCTCTGTAATTAGAAATTTATTATTATTGTTTGATGTTTTGAGTTTAAGCACCCCATATAAATAGATATATAAGTATTAAATATTAAGTAATTAAATATTTTTGAACATATACTAAATTGCATTTACCCCATAGTAATAAAAAAAAATATATAATCATATTAAATATTTTATTTTGTTTGTTTTTAATTTACAACATTAAAAATAAATTTTTTAATATTATTGAGTTTTTTAAATAAATTCAAGGTGAATATAAGATAATGTTTATTTAAAGTTTTTTTTATCATTTGACAATAAACACTCGTGTTTTTACATATATGATACTCGAACTTAAAATATCAAATAATAATAATAAATTCCTTAATAATGTATTTAAAGCTTCTTATATCATATGACTAATTGATATTTAACTGTCATTATATTTTATGTGTTGCCGGTCTACTTTATTCGTTCGATTGTTCTTGGGCTAATAATTTATTTTATTATTCAATAAAATATTAAAATTATAATTTTATATTATTCTATATATCTTTTATTAAAGTTAAGGTATTTATAAGTAATACATGTTTTAAATACTTTTATTAAAGTTAATAAAAACTGATGGTTATTTCCTTTGGGGTCTAGAAACTAAAATTTAATAAAAGGGATAAATTATGAGTTTAGTACCTAAATTATCGTTTTCAGTCCGTTTTAGTATTTAAACTTTCAACTTTTCCAAAACTTCACCTAAAGTTTAGTTTTTATTTTATTTTAATATTCTGTTCAAAATTTAACATGAACTTTTGAGAAAAATGTGAAAGTTAAAGGTATCGTAACGGACCAGAGTTGATAGTTTAGGTACTAAACATGTTAAGTTTTTAACGGTAAAAATTAAACATTATGTATAATTTTGAAAAGATTAAAATTGTAGGTGTTAAAAAAATATAAAATCAATAGTTTAGATACTAGAAGCATAATTTACCCAAAAATATTATGTAATTAGAATTAAGACTTAAATTGCCCCCTCAACTATACCATTTGTACCGAGTTACCCTTAAAGAATTTTTCAAGACGTTTTGGCCCTAAAATTTAAAACAGTACCTCATTTGCCCAAAATCACTAACTCCGTCCAAAAAGGCACGGGGTATATTACCTATTCAGTCACTCAATTATTCCCAATTATGTTCTAGTCACCTTTATTAATTAAGAACCAAACCAATGTAAAAATCATTAAAGTTTTTCAAAATTATCTTTATTTTTGTTTATGCATTTTGATTCGACATGACATTTAAAACCAACAATGTCGCTTATCGTATTTTCAAGCAACTAATTCGCACCAAAGCGCCCGAAACCAGTGTATAAATATTACCCAACTCATAATTTTCTAGTTATATATTATATGGTTTTCATTTTATGTTGCCCACCACTTGTTTGATGATTTGTCTCAATTACAACAAGTTCCTTGCGCTAGAAGATTTGACGATAATTTAGTTCCTGGTTTCAGGATATACGGTATGGAATGTCCTGCCCATTCCTTTTTTAAGTTCAAGTTTTGGTGAAGGCTTTCATATCACAGAGATCTCACAAAAAGATTTGTAGCCCTCAAAGGCGCTCGAAACCTGTTCGATCATTTGCTTCAATGGTGGACAAATCGTCTTCTAGTTTGCTTTCTCTAACACTTTCTTTACTGTCTCCTAATGCTTCTTTGACATCTTCGAGACTGATTTTTCCTTTTGCTTTTAATGCATCCCAGTAACCGATTTACTTCCCTCAACCAATACTCTGTTCGTCGCTGCAAAATCAACAACAAAATCATTTGTTTAGTCTCAACAATAACAACAACAACAACATGGGTTTATTTATCAATCAATTTTTTTTGGTGTCGTCGGAAAAAAAAATAGTTTGTGATGATTTTGTAAAGAAAAAAAGTTAGCAGACAAAAGAAATTACTTGGGTGACCAAAATGAAATCATGAGAATAGTTGAGTGACTGAATAGGTAATTTTACCCATGACCTTTTTAACAGAATTAGTGATTTGATAGTTAAGGGACAATAGGGCATTTAAGCTTAGAATTAATGAAGAGATATAATAAGTAGAAGCACATGTAATAAAAGGTCATTGGGAAAAGAGTGACGGTTGAAAAAGGTTAATTAGCTTTGGATACAGTGCAGCTGATTGACCTCACTGTTTGCCAATCGCATCGACAATTGCAGCGCGATCAGCTCTTGGCCGGTTATTTAACTCAATCCTGCCTTTCTCCTATTGGCTCGCTGCCTACTTAGTTACTCGTTTCAACCTTTCCACTCTCCTTTTTTCTCTCTATCAACCACATGCCGTTGAGTTTATCAAGGTGTTTTTAGCCTTAATCCCATTCTAGATTTTAGGGTTTAGTGAAAATATTTTTAGGGTTTGGCCAAAAATGTTAGCAAAACGATAAATGGTGAGTCTGTCACGTTCGATAAACATAGTTGAGCATTATTAACGATGA